ACTTCATAAATATTATTAGCTGTATCATATCAGATTGTGAAAAATTACTGGTAATCTTAACTTTCTAATATAGATTATTATATTTTATGAAATATTTTTTCTGTGTTTGACACCATTTATTACCTTTGAATGCAATGGATTACGGTAATAGTTTCTGAGTTTATATCACAACTGCATTTTCTAGATAAATCACATTGTATTATGAGACATATACTACTGATTCTATTTACATTAGTTCCATCTGTACCCATGTTCATACATTAATTTCTCCACATTTGTCTTTTCTTGTATTCTTGGACAAGTTTGTGTGCCAATGTTATACTGGTGTCTCAAATGAGATAGAATTTGTTCATTTTCTGAAATAGCTTGTGTAATAGAGAGTTTCTTTTAGAATGGCACAATTGTAAAACCATCTGGGTCTGCTGTATTGGGATGGGACACTGGTAGGGATATACTTGTGATGACATTTCATGGTTGATTCATTTTCTGGAGTGGCTGTTGTTTTCTTGAGACAATCTTGATTCCTACTTGTTTACTAAAAATATTATTTATTTGGTTTTGAATATTTTGCATAAAGTTATTCATATTATTCTCTTATTACTCTTCATTTCTATCTTTAGATATGTTCCCTTTTCTTTTCTAAAATTGTGTATTTGTGCACCCTCTGTGGAAATTTGCTGATTTCATTAATCTTAAAGATCTTGTCATGATTGTAAATATGAGGACAACAGAAGCACACAACAGCAAAGGGGCTTGGAAATCATACTCCGATTGGCAGTAGAGCCAGGTCTCCTGATGCCCAGATTATGAACTCCCCCTTGGACTTGCTGCCTTGCTCTAGCATACTACCCTAATTCACTTAAACTTATGCTGAGGCAAACAAAGTTTTTACTTGGTTATGTGTGGGTAGAAAAAGCTGCAGTGTGACACTAAGTGCAAGTGTAAGCAGATTGGAAGCAATGATTCCTCACCCTGCACTGAACCCCACAAAGAGTCCCCAGTGTTTCGTGAACAAAACCAAGTAACAAACAGACTCCCACCAACAACAGTTGTCATCCATCAATACCAAGCCACACCCATGGAACATAAATGTGAAGGCAAATATGGGGTTCAGAATGTCGCCTCATATTGGAAAGAAGAATATGCTCATTAAATTTCTAGATGTGCTTTTAAACCATTGAGTTTTGCTAGGCTTCAGATGTACCTTCAATTCAGTGGACCTAATTTTTTTTAAAACATTTTAATGTAAAGAGTGTTTCTTTAAAACACTTTAACTTAAGAGAAAAAATGTGATAGATTCACTTACAGTGAAAGACAGTGAAATGTCTCTTGTGATGGCAAGCAATAGCAAATAATTAAGAAAAATGCCTCTGACTTCTTTCTGTAATTTGCAACCCTTTCCAGCAAGAGACATTTATTCATTAAAGTTCTCAAGAGGAATTCTCACTGTGAGAAAATGACAATGCTATTTATTTAGCCCAAATGGAAAATATCCATAAAATTTTCTTCTCTTTATCTGCCACATTCAATTTGACAGTAATGTTTATAAATATAAATGATATCTGCTCCACAGATCTTAGCATACATCTGTAATCTTGAAAATAGTAACACTCTTAGAACCTAGATTGCCCAAAATAGCCACATAATTTAACATTACCTGGTTCATTCAACATGTCCAAGATTGAATGCATTCTTCTCCCAAGCAAAATGGCCACAAAACTTCTCTGTGTTTCTATAGTACTGACTGCTGGTTATCTATCCAGTAGCTGTTTAGTTCTTCTCACATCGAATCAGAACCTTCATTTTATTTTAGGGTGGTCAGAGACCTGGATAAAAACTGCATTGACCAAACACTCTTGTAGCTAGTTAGGGTCATGTGAATACTTCTAGGTGATGTAATATAAGCCTAAGTATGCAGGTGAGGTTGCCAGGGAAGCTCTTGAAATAGATGTGCTATTATCCCCTTAGTCCAATTTTTCTTTTATTTCAGCTTTGAATATTGTGATAACTAGAGATCTAGCAGCCATTCTGGAATGTAAGAGAAATTCTAAAAACGAGACACCTGGGTTCTTTATGTCTACAGGAACCACTGTTTTAGCTATCGCTCTCTAACATAACAAGCAAGCATCCACTGCTCATTAAGTATTTTCCATTTGCTCTGATATTCTTAGGCTCAGATGTCATTTCCCCCATTCCTCATCTGCAAAGACCCATGCAGGTGGTAACTTCTCACGAAGTTTGTTCCCACATCCTCCATGAGAGCGCATCATTCCGACCCCATGCCAGGGAGTACTCCTTGCTTGTAGCTCTCAGCTTGCCATCTCCACCTGCTTGAGTGCTCCTCAAGGACAATGACTGTGGCTCTGCTATTGAGTAGTCCACCACCCCATGTTTATAGTACCCACCACCTACTTATGTGCATGGAATGAGATCAAAAGTGTTAGTTGAAGAAATGAATGTGTGTTTGAGTGTGCATACATGTGAATGTGTGCATATGTTTGCTTGTATATGCATGATGTGTGCATATGTATGTCTGTGTGTATGTGTGAAAGGGCTTTGAATTATTCAAGTGTGTGAAACTGAGTTGTAACAAGTTATCAAAAAAATTCACTGAGCTGAAATAATGCAGCAGGCCAAAGCAAAAGCCAAAGGAGAAACATAGTCAACCCAGTTTGAAAATGTAAAGTGTCTGTAACTCCTACATAGGCAGAAACATTTGTGATTATGCTAATATTCATGTCACTCTCATTAAACTAATAGTGTACCTATGGGGGGAGGTTGCAGGGTGTGTATGGGACTGTGTATTTTCTAAGATATTTTGTAAGATGTCATGTTGAGCTATTTTTCAATTCAATGCTTATTAAACAAAACTACCTATGACCCTAAGCCACATAGTCTTTACTATGCTAAAAATACACTTTATATTTGCTTTTTACTATCTTGAGTTTGCGTGAAAGCTTTAATACATCAACTGTTTAAATATCTGAGTAAAGATAATCTATATAGTAAATGCTAGATTACTAGAACTGAGATAATCACTGTTGTTTGTGTTTCATAAAGTACTCTACTCAGAATGATTTCAAAAGCAGGTAGTCTGTTTAAAAGTCTCAGTTGTGTGACCTTAAGCCCAAAGGTCTTAAGACAAATGTTTAACTCCAAAGGCATAAAATACCTGCATGACTTATAAATGCAATGACATTTTCAACATTAACATAAGATTTGACCTTTTGTATCCAGTCTTCTGGGATGTGGTGTTTTAGCATGTTGGGTTCCTCTTTCTTTCTGTTTATCGTTCAAAGGCATACCTTGAAGCATAAACTTCAAGAATACAGCAGTTCAAAAACCAGGAAAGAACCCCTAAGAGCAGAATATAGCAGAGCAAAACTCAATTAAATTTTAACCTTTCAAACTTTAAAAGATTTGGAGTAGCTTCATTTCTTGCTTACCTAAATTAAATTGGATCCCTAAAGACACAAATAAAGATACAAGAAAATATATTGGCAGAAGCACAATTACATTCCAAAAATCGCGTTAAATTAAAGCACATTTCATTTATTCACTGCAGTTTAAACAAGTTCATGTTTCACAAATTGGTATTTATTGATTCAACAGTCATAAAAAGATTACATATTTCCTTTTGACAACTAGACTATGTTAGAATTAGAGAATAAATCATACGGCCATAAACTGTAATTTATTTAAGGAAATGTAATTCATGTGATACGGGAGAATCAAAATTGCTCACAACAAAGCTACCTGTGATTGTCTTAATCCTTACCATTTAAAAAATATCTCTTATATAGAATGATATTTAGGAAATAGAGATTTAATGAAATCTTGCTTTAGTAATGAAATCTCATAAAGAAGTATATGCCTTTGATCACAAGCTGCTGGTACTCAATGTTAGTGTTGAAAAAGGCCAAATTTTAAAATAAGGTTAATATGATTTTCTATTGAGGATTCAGAAAAATGTTGTTAAAAGATTGTTGAGAAATGTCTGAACTCAGAAATGTCTGACTGGAAACTATTTCAGTAGTGGATTGAATTTATGCATTTTACTAACTATAGGATGAAAAATATCAGACGTATATAGCCTTTAAGAGCCATATCTGAGCACTCTCTATCTGACAATGCTTTGAAGACAACAATTCTGAGAATGACATAATTTTTACAAAACTTTTAAAAATATATTTTAAAATAAACTATGGCCAGGCACGTTGGCTCACGCCTGTAATCCCAACACTTTGGAAGGCGGAGGCGGGTGGATCACAAGGTCAGGAGATGGAGACCATCCTGGCTAACATGGGGAAACCCCGTCTCTACCAAAAATACAAAAAATTAGCCAGGCATGGCGATGTGCGCCTGTAGTCCCAGCTGCTGGGGAGGCTGAGGCAGGAGAATGGTGAGCTGAGATCGCGCCACTGCACTCCAGCCTGGGAGAGACAGCAAGACTCCATCTCAAAAAAAAAAAAAAAAGAAAAAAAGAAAAAGACTACATACTATGTTGATTTTGCTTGTATAACTAGGAGGTAACGAGATATTCCCGTAAATCATTGGTTCTTAAACTGGAATCTGCTTGTTTAAGTCCCAGAATTTGAGATTCACTAGGTCTGGAGTGGATCCTGATAATGTACATTTCTTGCAAGCTCCCAGAAGATGGCAATGCAGCTAATATGGGGACCACTACGCTTTGAAAAACACTGACTTAGAGTAACAAAAACCAGTAATTATTCATCCAAATTAAGAAAAAGAAAATGCATCTACATTTTGTTTATCTACCTTCATAAATTATAACCTGGGAGATTCTGGTAGAACTGCTGTAATTGATACAAAGCAACTAGTTCAATTTAATTAATTTTGCTAAAGTGTATACTAAAAGAGCTTTTCAAATCCTATTTTTTTAAAAAGACAACTTTTATATGTAAAAAATTGGTGATTCTTTCATATCATACCATATAATGTCATCAGTATTAGTGAAAGCTTACATTAAAATCATTAAAAACATGTAGGGGGGCTCAGTTTTCTTAACAGAAAAGTGACATGTTTAGAGTGGACAATCTGTGACAGCCTTTCCAGCTCCAGAATGTCTCAGTTTGGACACTGTCAAATCATTCATGCCTTTGTCACAAAGAAGCTGGTGTCCATCTGGCATGGTAAAAAGAACAAATGACTTGGAGGAGCGCCCCAAAAGTCTGCAGAAAGAACAACCTTTCCATTTGGTGGTTATTAGCTAACAAGGAGATTCAAAATAGAAAATGAACAAGAGAATGTGATCTGACTGCCTGGAGAGTGTGCCCCAGCTCCTTGGTTGTGCGCGTGCTTGTTTTATCCTTGACTGTTAATTGTAATGAAAGACAAGGTTTTATTCCTTACGGAAACTCCTTTAGTGATCAGACAGGCAAGTGATGTGTGTGGTGACTGTCAGTGGATGGATCAAGAGTAGATTGTAGAGTTTGCTGCTGCTCGGAAGCAAAATTAATAAATACCTGAAAAAAAACCATAAAAATGTTTTTTACTTATAATACAAACTTCTGGTCTCACTTACTAGAAAGGAAACCTTGTCTCAGAACACTGGCCAACTTGTCCTAAAAACCACAGATCATTAATTCATACTACTCCCTCCCAAATCACATAAATATGTAAATCCATTGAGGACACAACTCTAAGAACATTCATATTTCTAGATAATTATAATAATAAATCACCTAGAAGTTCTCAATACTGTAAGCCTGGCTTTAGAAAGATGTTGTGATGTATTTTTATATTTCTGGTACTCTTGGTAAATGAAATGCTTTTTGTCTCCCCAGAAGTTAGCTATCATTTGATTACAGTGGAGCTGCCCCAACAAGTCTTGTGGGGGTGAATAAGATGGAGAAAGGAAGGTTAACGTGACATGATTTAATTAGTTGAATGCCCAACATAATCATGAACAAACTGAAACTCTACTGAATATCTATCTTAAGTAGAAAGGTATACAATAAACAAATTTTCTGACACCATCCTTATCCTAATTTTATAAAATTTAAAAAGATGAAATGAATAAAGTGATAAATTGAAGCAATTTGATTAATTTTAAAATTGGCTAGATTAGGTCTGATGAACAGACCAAAATGCAACCTCCTGAATCATTCAAGATACTATACCTGCTCCAAAGTGGTTTGGTTAATGGTATAATGCTTAATATTCAAGAAGGTTTTATTGTTCTCTATAACTTTGAACAAGTCAGCTAGGCATCCCCATCTTTTTGGCACATGATATTCTAACAAATTCAGGTGCTGTCCCTAAAAGCAAAAAAAAAAAAAAAAATTGTATCATATAATTAGCATTATTAAACAAAATTGATCATACTACATTTAATTGGAAAAGAAATTCAGTTATGTTTTCTCAGTCTACACAAATAATTTTGTGAGTCTCCAATGAATGCCTATTGATGACAATTTTTCATAGGGTATATTTGACAAATGACATTCAACTGAGTGGCATTGCTGTTCTGCCCCCTGATATGCCCCAACCTTGCAATAGCATGGGGAAGCCCTGTTTAAGGAATCATAAGATGCCCAAAGATATTTGAAATGTAGTAATTTAACATGGCCTAAGAGAGATGGATGGAGGAGCCCTGAGTTTTACACTGGGACTTGGGCTTGTCTCTCACTGTTCTCATCATTAGCTGAGCAACTCTTGGGAAGACATTTAAACCTCTGATCTTTGTCTTCATGTACGCCAATGGAGATAATTATATCTGTTTTATAGGGTAGCTCAGAGTCATAATTGAGCATGAATGACAGTCTCACACAGCATGCTTCTTCCATAGTAGGATTTCACTAAATGACAGTTGTTGAAATAAATAGAACATAACTACTTTATGGACTACAACCTGCTAGAAGTTATAATAAACCAGCATCCAGCAGTTATCCAAGAGATTTTTAGACAGTGCTTCTCAAACTTTAGTGTTCATAGGAATCACCGGGTCACCTTGTTAAAATGCAGATTCCCATTCAATAGGTTGGGGCCTGTGATTCTGCACATCTAAGAGGTCCCAGGTAATGAAGATGCTGCTGGCTCAGTGACCATACTTGATGATAGCAAGTTCGTAGAGGATTGTGATCTCAAGCACAGGGCTCTTTCTGTGAAGCAATGTGGAAACCATCAAGCCTATAAACCCTACAGCAAATATATGGAAGAGATTAGCTTTTGCAATCTTCTATGCTGAACAAGATGAGCTATGCAGTGGACTTAGGCCCACAGATAAGAGGCGTGATATGTAATCACAGGCTGCTCTGGCCAATCCAGCAAGCAATTAAGCAGGCTTGTCACTCTTCAGAGTGGTCAAGCAATATCAGCTATCCATGCTATTTTTGGTAGGGAGGCAGGGTCTATACTTTGCAATGTGACTAAGGTAACAAGTAGTATCTTATAACAGCATAGAATAAAAACAGAAAAAGACAAGTACGTTTATTAGCTTTTTTAGCTGAAAACAAACAAATAATACAGGATATTAGCACTACCTTGAACTGAATTCCTGGAAAATAAAGCTTCAAGTGATCAGAAACAGTGCAATGTTGATTTGCTTCCTTACAGAGCCAAACTTTGACTGTATAACCATCACCAAACCTGAGAGTTAAATAAAATAAAAACAAGATTATTATTATATTGACCTAAGACGAGTAAATTCTAAGTCCATTTTCACACAGAGGCAGAAAAAGGAAGTAACTACTCCAAATTGTTGAGAGTTTGGATTCTCAATATAAGACACAGAAATTAATAGTTAAGTCAATTACACAGTTAATTGTTTTTCATTTATATTGACAGACACTGATTTACCTTAAAAAAATTATCAGCAAGTCCCAGAATCAACATCCAGTCAATAAAAGAGGGAAGGTGAAAACGCAAACGGTGAAAGCAAAGTCCTGAGTTAGTGGAAGTGGGAAGCTGGGCTGGAAACTGGCCCTGGGAAGCATGATTGTTGGCCTTATTGCTTCAAGGTCTGTACTGATTAAAATTTGGCAGGGAAAAGATGAAAGGGATTGCATATGTAATTACCAGGCACTTGTTTGTTTGTTACATAAAAGAGTTACCACAATTATACTTCAACCCAGCCTAGGTGGACAGGCCCTATGACTGCAAAGGAAGTCTCCTGCCTAAGGGGCTCTGTTCCTCACACTGTAGAGTTATAGACAGTAGTTCCACTGGTGTCCCATCAACAAGACATGAGCTCATACTCACACCCTAAGGTAACCTCAAATAGCAATCTCCAGTAATGTAGGAGTTCTCCAAAAACTATATGAATTATTCTACTCCCTTATCTCATGTGGTGTTGGGCACGTCATAGCATCCCAATAAAAATCTGTTCAATAAAAGACAAATACATGAATATACTCTGATGACTAAAATCTCTGTCCATTTTGTTCCCTGAAGCATCTTTTCTAAGTACCAAGCACAGTATGAGTACGTAGTACCTAGCACTGGTAAATATTAGTTTAATGAGTGAAGAATGAACAAATGGCATGCCCAGTCTTAGTAATCGTAGTCATCTCATTTACAAAGCATTGCTGGGGAAAAACGTGTTACACTTAAGTAAATTTTCCCTAAATGAGGCTGATCCCTAATAGATTTATGGTCAAATTATTTTTCAAGTCTATCTGTTTAAGACAGGGGACCCAAGACAATGTGACCTTGTGTCAGTGACATAGATCACCCTTGTGAGCACCGATGGAGCTCTTTGCCCTGGGGTTCTGTTTTCCTGTCTTCCTGCCTTCATTTCAGGCTGTCAGATGTCACTTCCCCATGAGGTCTGGGCATGGCCACAGTAGCCTCCCATCATTCGAGTTGATGGTTTCTAATCTTCACATGGCTGAGAGGTTGGTGAGGACACTGATAAAATATACATAAAAGCATACAGACAAGCACTTCTCTAACATTTCTATTTGGCTATCTCTCAGAATTGTTAAAGGCCAACACATTGAGTTGGTACAAGAGGTATATATTCTGTGGTCATCCCTCCTCTCAGCAGTATGTTACAAGCTATGCTGCTGAATAACACAGTCAATCCACTGTGTCTTCACCAAATCCCCCAAAGTGGGTGTATTTGTCAGCGTTTCATGAAAAGAAGGGATTGAGGCCCAGGTGGTTGAAGGGGCTTCCCAAGGTGAAGCACCATGTCACTGCAGCTTTGTAAATGCTCCTGGGAGAGCTCTCAGCGCTGTGTGGGCGTAATGTTGTGTTCCAGGGCAGAGGGGATGTGTTGCATGGAGATGTGTTTCTGGTCTCATGTTTATTAATGATTCTGATGGCATGACAAAATGTAGTGTTTGCGCTACTGAGGTTGAGTCCAGCTCCTCCACATACTAGTTGTGTGACCCTGGAAAGTCTGGTAAATTTTCTAACCTCAGTTGCCTCACCTAGCAAATAGATTAATTATAGTATCTGCCTAATAAGGTTGTGAGAGGACTGACTGAATTAATTCTTGTAAATTACTTGCAACAATGTCTGGCACTGTGTAAATAAGTAGATAAATAAGCAGTGAAATTTAGGATCTATTCAGAATATGACCAGAACAGAAGAATGTTCGTCTTGGAGTGAAGAAGCCTACTATTTAGGGAGAACTTAGATAAAAGCAGATAAAACAATTCAAACATGAATAGGAAGCACTAAATAAAAATACAATTGGTATGAGGAGACAGTGGCAGAGAGACGGCTGTATGTTCTCATGCATATTAGGATTCATTTTCACCATTAGTAGAAATTGCAGCCCTATGGGTGTATTTTGTTAATGAATTTTGAAAATTTCATGCTAATTTCCAATAATTATCTAATAAATTCTCTATAAGCACATATGCATATTAATAATTAAAATTCTTTCAAATTAAAGTTTCATTTGAACTAAAAGAATTCCAACTTTACTGGGAAGAATATGAATTACACAAAAAGAAAAATTACGCAAAAGTTAAACAAAAAGTAAATGATACCATTCTTCCAAAATAGAAACACTCTAGAGAAAATATGCCTGAAATAGATAGGAAATAGTTTGAAATAGGTTACTCAGGATCTCTCTAAAACAGTTAACAGTTAAAAAGACTTCTAAACATAAAAATATAAAAGCATGGCACCTTCAACAACTTAGACACTCTTTGAAGGTTATTAAATTCATTATGATGTAAATACCTAATTAATATTAGCTGGACTTTTTCATTTCTGTCTATAACATACACAGTTATGTCAATAATCGAAATTCCCTGAAGGATTTATTTGATTTACATACTTCCACAGAATGAAAGGTTGCAAAATAGCCAAGGAGTCATTTATTTCTATGTTCACTCATTGATCTAACATTTCTAGATAATACATTATGTCCACATTATTTGCATAATCGGTGATTAAACAGAGATAAATAAATAGGATTATCTGTAGGTAAAGATGCTTATAAGAAATATTCCACAATTTTTTGAGGTACAGCATTTTGGAACCATAGACATTAAATGTAATGTATTAATTAATGCTAAAACAGAAGCAGGAGTAATACATGAGTGGAAGAAAAAACATACACACATATATTTTGAAAGTCAGACACTTCAAGAGCAGAACAAAAGAGGTGGCAATGCACATGCAGAGACATTTCTGAAAAATCACTTGTCAAGTTGTACCAGGTGCCTATGAAGCTTTGCATTCCTGGGCTTAAGGCTCCTCTTATAAACCTCCTTCCCGCAAACTAAAAGTCATGATATATAACAAATACATTGATTTCAGCCTCATCTATTAAAAATCTCTACAAATAATACTTAATGAAGATTATATAATAGCTATTATATAACATTAAGTGAAAAATAGAAAATCATAGACTCAGTGTTACATTAATGATGTAAATATGTTTGCATATATTTACAGTCAGACTGAAATAAATTCGGGAATGTTATCTGGACAAGAAACAATCGTATGACTGTTAGGTTTTTTTTCCTTATACTATTCTGAATTCTAAAATAATGAGCACATATAACTTTATCATTAGAAAGAAAAAATATACATGGCTTCTAAGAGAATTAAAGGAACATTCTAATGTCTCATATTCTACAACTGTATTTCAGTTTCTGATTTTAAAAATCATTTATTTAGGAACTTTTTGTCACATTGCCTCTAAAAATTAAATACATAAAATTCTTTTTGGTATAGAAGCTAATCTTAGACTTTAGAAAATAACAGGATTCGTGAAATATGCAATATTTGTATTATGTGTTTATAGATATATGCCCACTGATTTCCATCATCTGCCCCATGAGGAGTCTATTCACACTCACATCCACAACCCCATACATGTGCCCTTCCCTACACATATCTGAGTAGAAATACCTTTAAAGACGACTTCTCCCTAATCCACCACAGGGCGAGAGCAGAGAGCAGAGGGGGACCAGGACTCCTGTGGTCTCACGGTAAACTCTCATCCAGCACAAGTGTTACAGCACTGACTGTGGAATATGGGGCCCCCGCTGCCTCAGACTACATTGGTCCCTAATTCTCATCTTCCTGCCTCACCACACCACACCCCACTCCTCGTGGGTTGGTGCCTCAACAAAGTACCAAATTCCAGTGATCTGTCCTCAGCTACTGAATTGTAATAGGTTGCCTTTGGATGAGGAAAGGAGAGGGTGGCACTGAGGAAGAATGGCTGAGCAAACAGCAGGATGCAAACATTTATGTGAGCACTTGATGTGTAGCTGGCATCTCTGTATTATTAATAGAAACTTCCTCATCGTAATCTCAGTCCTCATGATTACCCACTGGAAAGAAAAGGAAACCAAGAGAGAAGACTGAGGACATGTGCTCTGTCCTGCATCCTCTGTGAGCGAGGCACCAAACACATTATCCCAATTAATCCCCACAAAATACTGATGTTGCTATCTCTGCCTCTGATTTACAGAAGTGAGGTGGATCTCAGAGAAGCTACAGACTTGTTCTGGTCACGCAACTCCAAGGGAATGGAGGGAGTTACAGTTCCAATGCTGAGCACTTAACCTCAAAACTCCAGCCTGAAGCAGGATCTCATTTAATCGTTAATGCTCTTACATCCTTTATATTAATACTTTCACATCAATAATTTCATTTTACTCTTATCACACCTGTACACGGACTGGAACAGATACCAGTTCCTCTCTATAAAATGCAAAAATTTGAGACCCAAAGAGATCAGGGGATTTTTTCTTTGTCACTCAGCTTATTAACTGGCAGAGCTGAGACCATGGGGCTTACTTCACAACCATGTCCCTTCATTGCAAGCACCTTTATTATTTCAACTTCAGTTAAGTTTGATTTGGATCATTTTTCAATCATTGCATATGCAAATCAGAATGGCTGTGAGGATTATAGACCCAAGGTATTAACATAAAGAGAGCCCTTGACAAATAACAACAACAACAAAACAGTGTTTGGCAGCTGGCAACCATATTCCTCTTGGAGAAGAAACCCTCTTTGAAAAGAGCTTCAATATGCTTCTGAGTTTAAAGACAATATAGGGAGATGACACAGCTTCACAATAAAAAAAGAAGCTTGATTCATGCTGATATGCATCACTCCATAAACATTGCTCTCTGTGGCTGGATGTGTCACTTTCTTAAATGACTCCA